GGCCGGACACAGTGGCTCACGCCTATAATTCTAGCACTCTGGAAAAGCTGAGGCAGGTGGATTGCTTGAGCTCAGGAGTTTGAGACCAGCCTGAGCAAGAGCAAGACCTTGTCTCTACTAAAAATAGAAAAAAATTAGCCAGGTGTTATGGAAGGTACCTATAGTCCCAGCTACTCGGGAGAGTGAGGCAAGAGGATCGCTTGAGCCTGTGTTTTAGATTGCTGTGAGCTATGATGCCACAGCACTCTACTAAGGGTAACAAGAGTGAGACTCTATCTCAAAAAATAATAGTAATAGGGCGGCGCCTGTGGCTCAGTGAGTAGGGTGCCAGCCCCATATACCTGAGGGTGGAGGGTTCGAACCTGGCCCCAGTCAAACTGTAACAACAACAAATAATAATAACAATAATAAAACAAGTAAATATAATGGATGTGAATTAGCGAAGTAAATCTTAAAGTGGTTCATGATGTGAAAAAAACAGGCTAAGTTTCTTAAAATGATAGCCAAGAAGATCACCACGACTAGGGGATCAGTAACGATCATCTCCATTCACCCCACTGTTACCACATGGAGATAATACACTGGAACCCCCAGACAAGCTGGGTCAGAGAAATAAAGTGACCGATAATCAGCACAAACTGAGCTCTACATGTTCCTGACTCCCAACAGAATAGAAAGTTTATTCACCCCACTAGCCAAGCCCAAGCCTGGGGTGCTGGCTGAGAAACTGCATCACATTTCCCTGACAAGCTGAGTTTCCTTCCTTCTCTTCTCCCTAAACACCAAAACATCTGCCATATCAGCAAAGGGAGGGAGGTGGAAACTGGGCAAAACCCTCTACAGCAGCAGGGTATTCCATAAAGGTGGTGATGAGAGGAGAAGCAAGAAGGCAGGGACAAAGTAAAGCAGCACCATCTCTCCTCCTAACCCCACTTGTCCTGGCAACCCCAGTAATTCACTCCAATCTGTCCGTAACTATACAAACTCCCAACCTTTCCCCCAGTCTAAGTATGTTTTCTTTCCACTTTGACAAAACTGTACCGTCTAATATGACAGCCACCATCCACTCGTAGACATTTAAAGTTAAATTCATTAAAAATTGAATAACATTAAAACTATAGGTCCTGGCTCGGTGCCCATAGCTTGCCTAGTTATGGCACCAGCCACATACACCAACAGTGGCGGGTTCGAACCCTGCCCAGGCCAGCTAAACAATGACAACTGCAACAAAAAATAGCCAGGCGTTGTGGTGGGCACCTGTAGTGCCAGCTACTTGGGAGGTTGAGGCAAGAGAATCACTTAAGCCAGGCATCCTTAAACTATGGCCTGTGGGCCACATGCAGCCCGCTTAAGACATTTATCCAGCCCGCTGGGTGTTTTTGCTGCCGCTGCCTATCCTGCTTAGCAGCCGACTTGTCCCAGGGCCCGCAGTCCAGCCCCCCCAATGGTCTGAGGGACAGTGAACTGGCCCCCTGTTTAAAAAGTTTGAGGACCCCAGGCTTAAGCCCAAGAGTTTGAGGCTGCTGTAAGCTGTGACACCGCAGTACTCTATAGAGGGCAACACAGCAAGATTCGGTCTCAAAAA